GCCGTAGAAGAAGACACAACAAGTCTCCTGCACTATACCGCTCCGGGTCTTGTGCTACATACAACAACAGACAGCATACAGAGGGAATCTTTCTAGAAGAGCTTACAGTAGGAGAAGATGAACCAGGGTCCGGTTAGGATGCAGAACCCCGCATACGTTGAAGAAGAGGAGCTGGACGAAGATGAAGTTGATCCTGCAGATCTTGCTCCTCTTGTCAGTGGAGACTCTCCCATCGTCACTGTTCCAGACTTGATGGAGGAGAACCTAGTGGAGGATCTAGGAGAGGATGTAGTTGAGGATGAGGAGATACAAGTCTGCTGATGTCCCACAAGTTGATGTTTGGGACACAGGGAAGACTAGGGAGCAGGAATACACACTGCACCCTGATCCAAGTATAGATGAGATCAGTAGCAGGCTGTTTAACCAGGTTTGGGATCTGCTCCAGATATTACAGGAGCAGGTTGACCAGCAAACCTGTAATAATAAAGATATTAAGCTGATTGACAGACTGAAGGCTATATCAGTCATGGATGGCCCGACTTAGTAAATTAACTGAGAAGGCACTTAAACGTTAAGTTAGGAAACCTTGAAAATAAAGGGATTCTGACTAACAATTATGTCAACAGTTTATCTTAAAGTAATATGATGTATGCATTTATAATTATGTAAATAAATGTGTTAACATTGCATTGAATGAATGAATTACTTTGGGTGTTAATAATTGCACGAGCATATAATTGTATAAAGCTTACTCTGTATGATTGAGATAGCCGAAGTATAATAATGCCAGGTTGCAAATATATATCAACAGCGCATGAGGGTTAGGCCCGAGTGATGGAAATAACCCGATCTGCAATGTTGTCAGGTTGCAAAGATTTAGATTCAAAACAAGTAGAATAACTTGAAGTATAATCTTATCAAAGTTTGCTAATTTAAGTTGGCCAATTCATTGCACATTTTTAGTAGTAAGAGAATACTACACTATTAAAGATATTTAAGAACAAATTCAGTGATGGTTAATTATTTCTGTTAAATTCTTGCTTCCAGCTTTCGTTGATCGTTGATTATGCTTGTTTAATTATCCCATGTGACATTTGTTTGAAATTTAACAAACATAATGACGCATAAAATAAAAAACTTCGTTTTTTGTTCTTCTGCTGCAGCTGATGTGAGGTAAACTGTAACTGATGTGTTTGTTGGTATGCGACTCACAAGTAACTGGTCTGGTGAATGAAGTGACTAATGAGTGACCACCGTAGTCCCGTGACTCAACAGTCAGCGGTACCTATAAGGCTACCCCGCAAACCACCGACCTAAACCGACCTTAAATCTAGGTTGTTTTAGTTCTGAATTAGGTTGAGCTAGGTCGGATGACCTTAAACGACCTTAAACGACCTTAGGCGACGTTGATTAAGGTCATTTTAGGTCAAGCTAGGTCGGATGACCTTAACTGACCTGAAACGACCTTAATCTATAAGGTCATTTTTGGTCAGGTTAGGTCATTTTAGGTTGCATCATTTTGCAAGGTCATTCTTAGGTAATTAAATTTATTCCTCTATGCCACCTATCAATCTAAGGGGGGGCCCTTAGAATGAAAAAAAATATATTTTTTCCTTTAATATCTATTGTATACCGTTTTAAAATTGTTTAATTTTTTATGAATTTTTTAAATCTACAAATTGTATTATGGACACCCCTTGATCCACCGGGTATGGGTCATGGGCGGGGTTTCCTTAACTCCCAACTGCAAACAGCTGTTCCAACACTGCACTTTTGTAAAACTCCCCTTCACTCAAACAATTTTCAAAACTCATAAGGATTCGCTGTCGGACCGCAGAGGTGAAAGGTTCTCTGTTGGGAAGCATACGAACTGTTAAACATAGTAATGTAATTTACGCGATAGGGTCTAGAGTCACCTTAGGGTGTATAGACAATAGTAAGCAGGATGAATCTAGTCTAAGAGTGATAGAGTCTATAGCTTGCAGAACGTTTGCGAACATTCGGATCGCCATTCTTCGAGAAAAAATATCCGGTCTTAGGAATTTTTTCTCAACCTTATCGGTGTACGTGGGGGATGGGGACGCGTGTTACTTGATTACCAACAGAAAACAACTATGCATATGCCTGGCCGGCGAAAACATCTGGATCAGTAAGGGGGATATTTTGCCAAGGAAACGCATTGAATTAGAGATTGAAAACTTGATAGAAACAGTGAAAATAGAGAAGACAGTGTATAACAATGCAGCGGACAGTGCAGAGACAGAACAGGATATGGTATTTAATAATTGCTTGGTAGCAGTATTTAATAATAAGGTAACAGTGAAGAATATGGAACTTAATATTCCTGAAATGAGCGAATCAAATCTGACTCGGTGTAATGTACAGGAGGATAAAACCTATACTGATTCTCAGTACATTTATGGAATTAATTCATGCAAAAAACGAATTGGTAGTCCTTTTTTTGACAGTAAATATCAGTCTAAATTTATTATTGAGGAAACTAAAAATGAAACCAATAACACTCTTTTATGTTTCAGAAAAAAGATAATCAAGAGAATGACGGGTACCAAGGATGGAAGTGTGGATAAAGTCCATGCAGAAGGAGAGGCGACACACAAGGGGATTAAGGGATCACCAGAACAGGTAAAACTTAATAAATTAAAAACTATTAAGGGTAAAACATTTTTTAAGCTAAACATTAATGAGATCAAAAGTCAAAGGGAAAGGATAAAAAGAAACACTTTTTTAGAAAATAAACTATCAAGAGAAAACAAGGAATTGACACTTTGCCCAGCTGTAAACTGTAAAATTAATAAACTTAAACTGCATTTAGGAAACCTATACCCTGAAATGGATCGGTCCAGGGAGATTGTACTAGCAGGACTCAAAATCAGAGGCGTCCTTGCTATGTTTATGGAGTATTTAAAACAGCTGCACCCCTCTAATAGAACATATGAAGCCTGGAAGGTGACTAAAGCTGGTCTTGAAAACCTGGGCATAACATCTCACGAGGTCACAACAGTTATTAATCATACCTACTACATTCTTGGTGAAGAGAATTACAGTCAAAAGTGTCAAGAGCTATTTTTAACCACGGCTGAAACACCCACTGATGAGATTGACAGTCTAATCATACAACACATGGAGGAAAACATGCCCAATCTCAGGGTTAAAACCAAAGGAGAAATAAAGAAGTTTAATGAACCTAGAGAGGACAGGAGAAGTACTGAAACTAGGTACTCTAATGAACCTGGATCCAGTAATCATCAATATAGAGATCACAGAATTCATTCCTCCGGTGAGGATCTCAGATATCTCAACCCAGATCCAAACCCCAGCAGGTCTGCTGCTCCTCAGGGAGGATCGCAGCAACCCAAGATAAGTAAAAACAACCGAAGAGAGGGCAGCTTTAGAACAGTGGATGAAAACAAGGTTATTGATAGCATCGCCAAATTTCTCACCAAAAGAAGTATTGATGAAATCAACTACAGCAACCCACCCCATGTAATCATGAGAGATCACCTGCATAATTATCCCGGTGAAATAACCACAATTCCTACTCAATGGTGGCACAAAAACAATGGAACAAGAGTGGATGTTATGTTACTCAATCTACACTATGGCTGTAGCTCCTATTACTGGAGAGATATCCTTGTCTCACCCTACAACCCTCTGGCTCTAGTTGGAGAAACTCTTCTTTGCAACCTGAGGCCATTCTACTTCCTATGTATGCTGTGGGCTGTAGCAAAAGCAAATCATAATTATAGAGAACAGTTGAGGAAGATGTTATCTATCAGAGAAGCCAGGAACACAATAAAAGAGATAATGAAATATAATAAACACTGGACAGTCAAGGCCTGGCATCCCAGGAGCATGGAGAATGCATTGAAGATATTCGTCAATCCTGAAGGTAATGCGGAAATAAGGGAAAAATTCCTGTATGAAGAACCCCTGGTCACACCTAGATTACATCAGAACAGGGAACCTACATTTGTAGATGGTCCTCAAATCAAGGAGGACCTGATAACAGGGCTTACTCACCTTGCAGTGGCGTAAATAAGGGGGGTTATTGGGGTTATTTACCCCCCCCTAGAATCCTGGGGGTAAATACCCCCCCCTAGAATCCTGGGGGTAAATACCCCCCCCTAGAATCCTGGGGTTAAATACCCCCCCCTAGAATTCTAGGGGTAATTACCCCTGAACATATTTTCAGGCCCTGAATAGCAGGGGTTACACCATTTGCTGCCTCTACAAGTAACAGTTCCAGTTGCCTTGACCCCTTCCCTTCAAAAAAAAAATACATTCCCTATTCATTAGTCTGCACTTGTGTAAAGCGACTATTTTCATGATAGTAAAAGTTTTTGCGGCATTTTGCAGATGCTTCTTAAACTTTTAGTTCGGAATCGGTTACTTCAGCAAAGTTCACTCACACACAACTCGTCATAATAAAAAATATATATATTATGAGTTAATTTCCTAAAATACGATTTTTGGACCCCCCTCCCCCTCCTTTTGTACATGGATATCATATCATATGTAANTTTTCCTCTTAGAGTAAAACTATTATTTTTTATATTACTGCCTTTTTTGTCAATGTTTGCCAGCAAACTTAATATAAAAAGTTAGTTAAAATAAAGTAAATTCAGTTTTTTTACAGATCTTTGTAGTTAATGTAAAATGAATGACTATAATGAAGGGTATAAAACAAGGTGAAAGCTGAAAGGTATGTAATGAAGCCTTTATTAGATTGAGTTTGTAAATCCCAGAAATGAGTGGAAAATGCAAATCAACTCCAATTAAAACCAATAATTTGATATACATCATGATATTTTTCTAGGGGGGGGTAAACAAATTTCTAGGGGGGGGTAAAAAAAAATTCGGCGCGCTTCGCGCGCCAAATTAAAAATATTTACCCCCCCCTACAGAATCCTTATTTACGCCCCTGTCACCTTGATATCTTCATTGATACAGAAAGAATACAAACCTATGATAAGAAAGAGATGTTGGTGTTAGGATCAGAATACAGAACCAAGATCATCAGAACCTGGGTCAGAACTATTGATAAGAAGCTGGGATTAAAGGATGGGAAGAAAATGCAAGAAAGAAGTAGATCCAAGGAACGCAGGAGGTCTAGAGACCGGAGAAGCTCAACCAGTAGCAAGAGTGAAAAAAGGAACCATAAAAAAGAAACAAAATCCAACTCCAGTGAAAGAAATAGACATGAGAGTGGATATCATAGCAGATCCAGAGAAAGAAGAGAGAGTAAAGACTCAACCAGAAGCAAATCTGAAGATAAAAACAGAAAGAAAGAAAAGACAACATGAGAACAGAACCTGGAGACAGGAATCACAAAAACCAGTTAATCCAGGGAAAACAAACCAAGGAAATAGAAATAATCAGAGAGGTGAAGAAGCAATCAGGGGAAAACTACAAAATCCCGAGAATAAGACTCTCAGAGCAGGAAGATGGACTAGGAGAAAGAAGGAAGAAACAGGAAAATAAACAGGAAAACATAACTCAGGGGAGTAAGGAAAGCAAGGAATCAGAAGAAGAGATAGAAGGAAATGATGACAGTGCTCAGGAATTATTAGCTGAAGCTAAGAAAATTAATACAGAAAATATCAGACTGGAAAAGGAGATCACACGAGATATAGGGATACTGAGAGAAGAACTGAAACTAAAACCTGAAGAAACTTCATCCTATGACTCTGATAATGGTAAATACTCCAAGGGAGAGCCGAATCCCCTGGCAACCCTAGAGGTTGAAGAAATAACAAATCCAGTAGAAGATAGCCTGGAGAAAAGTGAAATGATTATACCTGGAGATGAATCCAAGAAACCTGCAACTGAAACCGGACCTACACAAGATATTATCCTCCCTGGAAAGAGGGAAATAGAAGAAGGATCCTCAGCTGATCTACAGCAAAAACTAGCTATATTACAGGCTCAGCTCATGGAAAAAATTAAAAAAGAAAGTAGAGAAACCAGGAAAAGAAAAAGAAAGAATAAAAATAATCACAAGAAGGTAAGACTAGAAGGAAACTCTGGATCTCAAGAGGAATACTCCAGTAGCGACAATGAACAGCCTGAGCAGCACTCAGAGAATGGGAAAAGGAAATACAGCCCTAAACCGACAAAAAAACAGACAAGTCTATCACCAGGAAAAAAACCAGAAGGAAATAACACTACCCTCTCTCCTGCAAAAAGCATTCCTGGAACTAATAACAGCCCGGAGAAGCCTGATAACAAATCAATCCCGACTGAACACAAGAATGAAGAAGAAACAGGAGAAGTTGAGAAAGAGGAGGACTGCCCTAATGGAACCAAGGAGGAGGAGATATTGACACAGAAATCACCCCAGGAGAAGACCAGATACAAAAGTAAGGGAGATTGTGATCTTTGCAAAGGATGCAATAGGGACAAATATTGTATTTGTTCCAACTGCTGCAGAAAAAACTGGAATAAAAGATGCTATAGACAAATCTGCCTAAGAGGAAAAAGTAAGCTGGGGAAGTTCATTGTTAGACACAAATGGGAAGGTTCAGTTCTAAACCAACGAAGGTATAACAGAGAAGCAAGATGGAAAAAGGCAGATTCCAAGGATACTCTGAAAGGAGAAGCAACAGACGACTCGTTTGACGACAGGGAAAACTCTTCCTCTGAAGACAAGGAAGTTAGAGAATACAAGGAAACAAACCCTCATCCCTCAACACCGAGTAAAAACATTAGGCAAGTTCAAAACAAAATTATTGCAACTATAGAAAATCCCCCTGAACCTGACATTAAAGTAAACATTAATGAAAACGTAAATAAAACAAAACCTGATGTAAACTCTAAGCTAACTGAAAATATAACGAATCATATTTTCTTCACAGGAAATAACGAGGAAACCACAACAGGAACCCAGGGATGGATCCTAACTCTCCCCGCAATTCAAGATAGTCAGGTAAAATTTAATAATGAAGATAGATGGGGGAATAACATAGGGAACTGCTATGAAGGGAACCCTAGATCAGGGAAGGATGACAACAGGGGAATTAATAACAACCAGAATAAGAAAGGAGAAAGGGGATCAAAAAGGGGGAAAATATACACAAAGGTGATAAAAATTCTTAGTAAAAGAAGTGTCCAAGTAACAAGAAAGGGGATAAATTCTCTGTATAACAGAATAATAAAAAATTTTTTTGAAAAAATAATAAACACAAATACTTACTCTGGAATCAAAAATTCCACACTTAATCATAACATGCAATGTTCTTCTAATGGTTTTAAATTCTCAGGTGGGAGATCAAAGCTCAATTCAATGGGAACCAGAAAGAATTCAAGAAAGTGCAATAGACGAGTTCAACCGGATCCATATCGTACAGGAATTGGGAAATTTCGAGAGTTTAACAAGTATAGTAAACATAGAAGATCTGTTAAACATAAAGAAGAAGAAGAAGACAATCAGTAATTAAACCAGTAAACCTTAAAGGAGCTGAGTTTTACGGATCAAAGAGAATTAAACCAGAAAACATAAAAAACATATTTTGTAAAAAAAGGAAATATAATATAAATTTTGTAAATGTGAATAGTTATCAACAGATTTGGCAAAGAGGAAACTCTTATTATAGTGGTAGTATTTCAGTAAATATACCCCTTGTACCATCAGGCATACCTCTACAATCTAGTAAAGTTTTTCTGAGCAAAAGCAATATTGTAAACAATTTAAAATCATGTGAATATTTTTTCAGAATAATGAGTGAATCCCAGAATAAAGCTTTGGAGTCAAGAAAGGTAGACAAAGAGATAATCATAAACATAGATGACAGCAACAAAGCTCTGGAAATGAAAAAATCCACGCAAGTTGAGATGACTAGTGCATCTATCCAGGGTGATGATGAGAAGGCTCTCAATCATTTGGACAGCAAAAATCAGGTAATGTGTTTCTTAGGAGTCCTAACCACTAAACATACAGACATATTATCACAAATCACACAAGCGGAAGCTATTAACATACTAAAAAAACCTGCAAATCCCAGCCAACATAAGGATAATCATGTCTGGGGGGGGAGAACAACAAAACCAAAAATAAAACCCCAGAGGGGGAAAAATCAAAAAAACGCATCTCTACTGCTTGTAAAAGGCTCATGGAAAATTCAAAAGGGGGGGGGAGGCTTCTGCCATAGTAAATATAACAAAAAAAATTTAAGAAGAACAATAACTGCGATAATTACACTAAATTCTAAAAAAAATCCTTGGGAACTTTATTTCTTCATTAAACATACCATAACTAAAAAGGTTGAAATTGCAGGTGGGAAACCAGAGTCAGAGTCCGTCCAAACTGGAATCAGAGGTACACCAACCAAAGGCATTAACAGAAGCTATCAGTCTATCATGCACACAAGCTGCAGAGATTCTTGTGGATCTGGCAAACATAGGAGACATAGAAGAACTGCTAGACACATTTCTGGAGGAGGGAAACAAGTAACGAATAAATCTGGAAAAAATGCACTAGCATACTGTAAAACAATAGTAAAGAAAAATCCAAACTCATCCTTATGGATGAATAAACCATATAAGCACAATGTTCCCTGTGAAAATGCGACTATGTACCAACACATATGATATCAGAAAAAGTGTAAATATTTTTTTACCTACAATTTGACATTGCAAACCAATAAAAGTGGTAGATTTCTTTATGATAAACCTACAAGTTTTGCAACTTTATGCAAATTATGTTTCAGAATAATGAAACGTGCCTGGGAGGAGGAGGGGGAGATTCTAGAGGAGAATAATGAAGCAGGATACAAAACACCTGTAATGAAATCCATCCTGCAAAGGGTTGCAGCCAGCATACTCATTATAGGAAGAGCGGGAAACATACCTGAACCTACAGGAGAGATGATACAAGAGCTCCATTCACCAGAAACCCCCCCATGTAACAGAACATCCATTAAACCTAAGCAAATATTTCCTAAATCAGCCTTCTGGATTAAACAACTGGGGAAAAATCAGGATGCAGAAGAGTATGGAAAAAGTGAGGAAGAGATACTGGGAAGAAAACCCTCAAACCAGACACACGCTAATCCCCCTAAAAAAAATAAAATCCCAATTATCCCATTTAAATCAGAAGACTGGATGAACCTAGAAATTGGACTCAAAGAACTGGAAGTCGTAAACACCAAGAACATCCTGAATATCCTTAATAGGACACAAGCGGAAAGAATCCTAGGAGGTAACGTAGATCCGATAACAAACAAGTTAGGAAACAAACTTGCCAGAAGGACTTTCTTTCTGAAGGAATGGGAAAAACAACTTCACAGGTCCGCATTAACCAATGCCAGTACTGAAACAAGAATGCCTTTCCCCAACTCGATGAAACAACTAGATAAACTTGTTATCAATAAAAGTAAGATAACAATCAAAACTAACCTAAACATGGTCTCCGACACAGAAAAGGATCTGATGAACCTATACAAGAACGCCAAGACCCCAAACAGGTAAGTACAAAAAGAAAATAAAACTGAAAAAACATTTAAACCACACAGGATAATGATAAAACATAAAATTAATTTATTCCAGGAACTGACATCAGAGATCTGGGGGATGCAAGCAAAGAAAAATAAAATCAATGTAATATCAAGGCAACATCAGCAGCCCTACTCCAAGGAGAAAATAATCATAAAAATACCAGTAGGAAAACACGCACAACTCTTTATTTTTTTCAGACAAATAATGAGACCTACAGTTAAAATATACATGGAAATGATAGAAGAGGCCGAGAATGAGGAGGATAGGATCAGTTGCACAGATTATCTCATAACAGAATGCAATTACGTCATGGAGCACTTTAAGCTAGTTGCTGGAGAACTAAACGAGTTCAAAAGATATTGGAGGGATAAGAATGACAAAGAAAAAGAGAACGGGAGAAATGAAGCGGCAAATACTATATTCAGACTGATTGTAATGTTTGAAAGTATCACAGATTATCTAAAAGAAATGAACAGATGGTGGAAAAAGGGTAGATTCATAATTCCGCTTTTCGGTAACTTTTACAATGGACCAGAAAACTCGGTCTTTGAACTAGAGATGGCCACTCAATATATCAATATTGCCGCAGGTAATAATACTAACACTTTTAAATACATAAAACATGAAGAATGTAGAGAAAGTCCACATGGAGAAGAACATACAGGTCTGTCTATAAATAAACCAAAGGAGGGCACTTGTCCTGAAAATAGTGTAAACATAATAAATAACAAAATAAGAAAGATTAGTTTTCCAAATAACAAGCATCCCAAATATACTAGTCATAATATTTCTAAGGTAAAGTCGCAGAAGA